GACGTACCATTATGGTCCAAACTCGGGTACACACACCGTCCATCATGCTGTGCCGCACAAGCGGGAATCGGCGGGTTGCCTGCTATCCGCTCGAGGCCGCAAGGCGCAATGCCTGCGGTCGGTGTTTAGCTCTAATTGACAATGTGAATAGGTTCCATGCTCAAGTCGCACTGCAGGGCACATCGAGAGAAATTTAATGCTACCTCCTCTTTTCTGTCGCCCAGATTTATTCATCCCTCCAATTCTGAGTACAGGCCGAAAACGCCAAGAATTTTAATAGAGTATTCCGGTGGGAGCGCACAGCGAGGGAAAGGGAGCGCGGAGAGGACAAAACGGAAGAACCAAAGGGAAGCGGTTCGACCAACGGCCGTCTTGTCTCTTCGCGCTTGAACAGGTCATCTTCAGAAAGATCATGTCCTACTGTGTCGTACTGTGCAAAGGGCCATATTTCATTTTGAGCAAACGTACAAACTTCACGAGTACTTTTGCAGGTTCGGGCTGTAACAAAGAATGTGCTTAGAAAGGTGTGAATGCCAATCGGCAAGGCAAGGGAGAACGTCAAGCGTAAAAGTACATCGCCTACCCGCAATATGCCTGGTACGAGTAGGGCTGCGGCAGGGATTGCAGTGACTGCACTTGTGCGCTCGCCACCGTCGAAGTGTTGCTCGGCGAGGCAGACACTTGAGGGAAGCCCGGGTGCGCCCCGTGGCCGCCGTGGACGTGAGGTGCGTGGTCCGGGCCCAGGATGTGCGCGCCGTGCATCATGAAGCCGGTGTGGGAGTGCGAGGTGGCGGCCGCCCCGACCATGGTCCCGACCCCAACGCCGCCGCCGCCGACACCGCAGGGGCCGCACGCGGCAGCCTCGCCCTGCACCCACATGTGGCCGTGCGCCGCGTACGAGGGGTGCGATCCGTAAGCCCCGTACTGGTGGTACGAGCTGCGGGCACTACAAGGGCATGAGACGAGAACAGCCGCGACAGGGACAGGGTGAGAGGGCCACGGGCCGGGCCACGGGCCGGGCCACGCTCTGTACCGAGGGGGTGATCAGTCATGCGAAATGTGAACAATGATTTTACGAAAAGTGACTTTTTTTGACTTTTTTGTGACTTTTTTGTGACTTTTTTGTGACTTTTTTGTGACTTTTTTGGGGGGTTGTACAATGATTTTTCGTAGTGATCCCCCCCTCGCTCTGTACGCACCAGGGGTGCTTGCGCTCCTGGTGCGGCTGTGTGCCGAGGTGGGCGTGGTACTGCACTTCATGGTGCGCCGTGTGGTGCGCCTGGTAGTGAGCCGGGTACAGCGGCCCACCATCGCCGTACGGTCTGTAGGATCAAACAGATTAGTGACTCGAGGGCGTGTCCACATGTGTCACGGACTGACATACAGAAGCCATTTTTTGATCTTTCCTCGCGTGTGTAACCGAAAACGCGACAACGCTCGAAATTCATTTTTTTTGCAGTTTTGAATGCCATTAATTGGGGCTTTCCAGGGATATTTTCGCCTTTGCTCATGGTGATTCATTTAAGATTGACGTCACGGACTGATCAAAAAAATAATTGTCAGTCCGAAACGTCTTCTTTGGGGCCTTAATGCACCACCATGACCAACACTGTGGAAAATTGTACTGGGTGCAGAAACATTTTCCATGGAAGATGTCGTACAATTACAATTCAAAATTGTAAATTTAGACTAAGCCTTGCGTATTGACTTGTAATCGAATGAAGAGTAAGAGCGGAAGGTTGTACATGTACGACGCGTACGACACATGTTGTAATTAGCAAATTACAAAATATATAGCACACACACGCGGGGAAACGGCTTCTAAATGTCAATCCATGACACATGGCGACACGCCATCGAAACGATCAGGGGACATGTCATTTCCAATGATTTCCAGAACATTGAGAAAACGTTTCCATGGGTCTACGAGCCTTACAAAGAAAGCGCCGTCTTAACGACCCCGTTCACCTCACCTGGGGAGCACGGTCCTGGTGTCGGCGTGGTGGTGGGGCCCGGACGCCAGGTGGGCGCCGGGGCTCAGTGCGGGGTGGCCGGGGTGGCCGGGGCTGAAGGCGGGGTGCAGGACGGGGCTCTGGGTGGGGCTGCTTGAGCTGCACGCGTCCGGCGTCGTCCTTGCCGACACATCAGATCTGCGGACAGCGGAAGAAGTGTAAGCCAGCCGTGTGGCGCGGGCTGCCCGCGGGGCAGGGCACTGCATGCTGCATGCACCTCACCGGAACGGGTAGCCCTGGCAGGACGAGCTGGGCGCCTCCACCTCCTCGGCCTTGACGGCGGACGGCCCCGGCGTGTCGCGGTCCTGCTGCTGCGCGCCCCGCGCTCGGCCCGCTTTGCGCCGCCGGGGTTGATACTGCAACAGGCAGAGTGAGGAATCATCATTAACGTTTTGACATGTCATATTGTAATATTAGGTGACATCCAACTGTACATCATTACATTTTGTTCAAATGAAATTTTTAAAAAATTTGTAGTTTCTAAAAGTTATAAAATGAAAACTATAATTAGATATTTTGATTACATCCGTTTTCCTCGCAGATTCATTCGGCAAATTTAGAGTCCAAATTACGGAGCTCGGCGCCTGCGATACTCAAGGTAGGCCACCCCGCGATGCACGTGAGTACTGCTCGGAAGATGTTGCCTACCGATCGGGCGCTATGGGGGCTTGCATGTCCTGGCTGAACGTGGCAGTTTCGTGCCCGGCGAGTGACGGAGTATACTTTCTGAATGACCCCTAAGCGCAGGATATTGAGCACGAGAATGCGCGAAGCGGGGCGCGTTTAACTTTTACAACACAAATAACTGTTAAAGAACATAAGACAGACGCAAAGCCTCCACCCGTGCCTTACCGGATCTTACCTTACCTTGTAGTCGGGATGTTCCTTCTTGTGGGCGGCCCGGAGACGATCTGCCGCTTCGACGAACGGCCGTCGCTCCTCCTCGCGAAGCGCTCTACAACGGGACATTCGCATAAGAAACCCGGCCAGGGAACGAAATATAAGGGACATAGTCTAAACACGATTATTGACAGCACTTGCTCCCGCCTCTAAAACGTCCACAGCAGGCAGGGAAACAGGAGTACAGAGCTACCAATGATCGCTCGTAGGCTATGTCCGCCGAGCATGTCTATGTACCGACTTCCACAGCTTGCCGAGGGTCTTGCTGAGCTCCGCGTTGTGCAGCTGCGGGTGCTCCTCGGCCAGCTTCTTGCGCGCCGCCTGCGCCCACACCATGAAGGCGTTCATGGGGCGCTTGACGTGCACGCGGCGCGGCGAGCCCGGCCGCCGCGTCACGGGCACGGTGGTCCAGTCGTAGCCTGGGGAACAGAAAGCAAAGCGGAGCAAAGCGGAGCAAAGCGTTTGCATCTTTCCGCCAGCACCCCCCTGGCCCCTCCCCCCCTTTCTCTCTCTTTTCTGAATTTATGACGCCCCCGGCTCGCTCGCGCCTCCCAGGCTGTCGCCGCTCGGCCGCCTCGCGGCGTCAAATGGAGCGTTCGCCAGTTTGCACACGCGATGCGATGCGATGCGAGGGCAATGCGTCATCGGGGGCCCCAGCAGCTGTTCCGGGGGCGGGGGCGGGGGCGCGGACCGCGAGCGTATTCTTCTGTCCATCCTAACGTGGGGTGGTGAGGTCGCCGAGTCCGTGTTACACTGTATACGCATCTGCATGCACCGTACGCACCTTGCAAGAGGCGCCCGACGAAGTGCTCGAGGGTGAGGCCGTTCTCCTGGACCTGCGTCGAGCACGCCGTCAGCGGGCTCCTGCTGCTGCGTCCGGAGGAGCTCCCCGGGCTGGTGGGGCAGGGGCTGCCGGGAGCGGGGCCGCTGCTGGGCCCGAGGGCGCTGGCCGGCGAGTCCATCGTCCCCATCTGGCACCTGTGCAGAAGGCGGACTTACTCGCATGTCCACTCTCATCCCCATAGGCGGACGCCAAGCGCGCCGCCGCGGCCTGGGACCTGAGCCCGGCCCTTAAACATTCTCGTATAATTGGGGGAGACAGCTAATGTGGCGCATCGCCGCCCGGACGCCCCCTCCCCCTCCTCCTCCCCCTCTCCCACCACTGCCCTCCCCCCCTCCGCGCTCCTCCAACTATAGCGCCCCTTCCCCACCCTTACCGCGCCGTGCCGACCGCGTCCGCGGGGCCTGCCCTGCCGTGACGCGATATTCATTAGAGAAACAGACTTGTGAACAGCTTATTTAAGCAATGACTGGTGACGAGATGGATGCTGGCGCGGTTTGTTTGTTTGTGTGTGTGTGTGTGTGTGTGTGTGTGTGTGTGTGTGTGTGTGTGTGTGTGTGTGTATGTATGTGTGTTTGTGTCCGCGCGTGTGCGTGCAACTCCCATGGTTCTAGCGCTGCTCTTTGCACCGTGACGGCCGCGGCGTGCGGTGGTCATGGCGCCGCCACAGGCCACAGGCCACAGGCCGTAGGCCCCGCCCTGCGCCGACATGGCGTCGCCAATAGGGACCCCAGCTCGGGGCGTCGCGGAGCGTCACGGCGCCCACAAAGGGAGGGGGCAATAGCTCGACTGCGGCATCCCGGCTGTGTTTAAAACGTTTCTGATGAATGGAATATGGGGAGATTAATAAGAATGTAGCGCATGTCCAACTCCTGACAAATCACACCCGTCGGGCGCACACCCGAACACCAACTATCCCGCCCCGCCCTGCCCCACCCCGGCCCGCCCCACCCCTCCCCGCCCCGCCCCGCCCGCGCCCCCGCCGCGTGGTGTCCCTAATTGGCTCCGCCTCAATACTTGCGCTAATGCAGGTTTGTTCTGAGCGGTGGTGACACGGCCAGTCATCGCGCGACGAGGACGCCGCCGCTCAGCGGCTAACCGGCTAATGAGCAATCAGCTCGCGCCAGCTCGCGCCCCGCCGAGCTCACGGCAGATTTCTCACGATTTGTCACTACTTGGACTCGGCGGGCCGCGGCTGTTCGCACCTCCTCGCGGGGCGCGTGGCGCGACACGAAGCGGCGCCCAGCCTTCACTTTCGGTCGTAGGTTGAAATATATTTGTTTGCACGCGTCATCGTAGTTCGTTGCAGATGATACCTTTAAACACCTACATACACAAAACATAAATATTTTAAACTGTCAGCTACCTTTAACTCTCTATAAGAAAGGAAAACGAAGCGCTACGCCAGCGCAGTCTAACATGGAACAAATGGGTGTCAATAAAGTTTACTTTTATCCAGACGAGCATTTCGTGTGTCAAGCAGTTGCACACCGTGGGCCGCAAATGCATATTTTACTCCACCTCGATTTATGTCAAGTCAACTACCATGCGATCTTACCCCCAACTGCC